TCATCAACATCGTGCATGTTTTTATGCTTTTAATGGAAGTGCTAGAGAAACCAGCTTCTCTCATAACCCTACTAACACTAGGGTCATCTAAAATGTACAAAATAAACTGCTCTAACTCGACCTTAATAGCCAGAAGAGGCTGCTATTGTTGTTGTTCTGTGCAGCCTCTTCTCTGATGAGCTTGTGCTCTTTTTAGTGCAGCAATGAAAGCATTAGACAAATAAGGTTGGCCATGAAGGAGTGGACCAGGACTTGTTGGAAGCCTATTAAGTGCCACATTAAAACATAGCTCAACAGCTTTACACTGAAGAGGATGATGATGATGAGAAGTGGCTATATGATTTGGTTGTGATTTGAGACAAGCCCTGCTAAGAAGATAAAACATATATTCTGATGAACTGTAAGTAATTCAAACCAGGAACTACTTATATTCTGCTCTCCGTGAAACCAAAATCACGGCAATCACAAGGTTAATTTAGTTCAAGAATTATAACATTAGATGGAAGAATTACGGGAAACCGAGACGTAAAAAACACATAAAACATAGTAATAACTTTTTCATTTTAACCCGACTTAACTGGGATTTCAGAAAGAAAAAGGCAAAATTATATCTAAATTTAAACTTTATCCCTTCGATCTAGGGCGGGATTTAAGACTATAGAAGCAAATTGCTCGTTAAATACAAAGCAAACTGCTGCTACTCTGCTTCAAAGGGGAAAATATGCGACCTTCACAATAGAAAATAGGATTAAATTAGAATGATTTTTTTTATTTTTCTCATAAAATCGAGAGCAAAATGGAGGAATTACGGTACAAAAAGATCCTAATAGATCTCTAACTTAGAATCAAAGCTTCAGGAGAAAATACTCACCGCTTTAAGGAAGGAAGAAATTAATAAGTTGAACAAGAAAGAATGAGGGCTCTTCGATTTCCAACTTGTCATTCGATTCTCTGACCATAAACTCGAACACCAATTGGAGAAACCCTAAAGGATTAGGGTAAAAATATTACCCTGCAATATTTGCAACCATAGGATCTGAATGCAAAGCTTGCATCACGTCATTAGGAAAGGGAAAAAAATAAATTTTAGCATGTTGCAAACTTTGAAATCTCTACAAAGAGGATGAAGTAAATCTATAAATTACTGTTTAGGCATAGATGGGACCATATTTAACATTTCAAGCTCTACAAAGAAGACGAAGTAAATATGTGAATTACCATTCTAGGTATAGACATGGAAGCATCAATCCAGGTAACCTACCTGTGTACATTCATCCTCGATCGATAACGGCAAAAGACTGACTTTTGGGGATTTTGGGAAAAGCAGCCACCGATGATGGATGGGCTCCTAGTAATTTTCGGATGAACGATAGAAGCGTCTGTTAATCTTTGGGAGAGAAAGCCGAAGGACTGAGTGGGGGTTGTACTAAAATTAGGGATTTAGATATCAGTATTTTATTAGATATAAAAATAATTTTAGCGAGTGTAGAAAAATTGGGTGAAAAATAAAGAGGGAATTAATGAACGTTGCCATAGAGAATTTTTTTAATCAACCGTTACAGTAGATAGATTTATTAGCACGGTCATAGAAATTGTTGCCATATAAACATCTATTGTAACGGTTCGTAGGATATTGCAACGGTTTGGGTGCTAAAGTGTCCTAATAGTTCCAATAACCTTTGGTAACGGTTAAAACCGTTGCGATACACCCCCTATAGCAACGGTTAAAGATCCGTTGTAATAAGAAACGTTGCCATAGCCCCAATTTCTAGTAGTGGGAAGATTGAATATCCTCGTATTTCTATATAATCATATTGGGTAAATACGAAAGGTTACCCGATTTTCTTTCTATTTGTACTACACAAATATAAGCATGATGCTTGAATCATATGCCACAAGTAAACTAGAGGTTTACTAAAATAAATATTAGTTGGCATGACAAATTGACCATCCCGGTTCAATTATGATGCAAAAAATTAATTGAGAATTACATTGGCATATATTGAAGAATAGAAGATTCTTCAAGAATTTTCTTGTGCTGCTTATTCTCATGATATACCAATTAAGGTTGGGATTAGATCCCTTGATTTCTGAAACGAATAAAAGATGATAAATATATGGGCCCCGTCACCTGCCATTGGACCGTTTACTATTATATAATTTTAATAGATGCATCTATTCTATGGTCACATGTGCATTTGTTATCAACTTGCAGTTTGGCTTTTGCAAGATTACTTGCTCAAATTATTAGAGCACAGTCCCAGAATATAAATTATGATGATTTATCTTGATAATACTGGTTTAAATCCAAGTTGGTTTAACAAAAATTGTATGCCTCCAATTATAGCTAAATCATTGGTTATGAGAAAAAAACTCCCAAAAACGAAATGTGGTATGAGATGTATTATTTAATATACAACATCACTTGTACGCGTCTAGCCAAGTTATGAAAATTTCTCCATATCACAATTGGTTCAGGGTCAGGAACCAAATAATTTCTATATAGAAATATAGATGTGCTATATGATTTATTTATGCCACCACAATGCACAAAGATGGGTTCCCAAAGAAGGTTGAGAAATGTGTTGGTGATCCCAACATTAGGGGGAGAAAATGGGCATCTGAGAAAGTGATACGTGAAATAAATTATTATGAATACATATAGATCCTCGTACAAGAAAATATGAACTTGAAGTTCAAGTGATAATTCATTTACAAATTATTGCCAGACGCATTTGCTGATCCAAAACTAAATGTCATATTTCAGCTGCTAATGCTCCAAATAGAATAAAGTCCATAAGGGACAAAGTCTATGGCACGCATGAAGCGTAACACACCAATCGGTTCCAAAGATAAAACTCCTCGAAGAAGAAGAGAGGCAAATATTCAAGATGGTCATAATATGGAGGCAAGTGGTCTAGAAGAGCACCACGACATAACACCTCATGGGAGAGGCTCAGGTACCAGAAAACAATGAGATAAAGAGATCTCAATAAGTTATGTCTTTATTAGGTAATAATGGAACCGACATAAATTGATAGAACGATATTGTTAATATAATTTAGTGCACAATATTATTAATATTGACGAGGATCTTGAGCTCAAATCTGTCATGGAATGTAGACATATAAATGATTGGCCAAAATAAAAAATACGCAATCAAGATTGATTTCACCTGAAAAATGTGAAGTTAGACGGATAGTCCCAACACCTGAAAGTATAAAGCCAGTTAAGGTATAAATGTGTTCTTGTGCGAAGAAAGACAAGTCGATAAACATAAAGACGACTTGTGTCACAAGAAGATTTGTAAATATCCTGGCATTTCAGGTTTTAATCTGGCAATACATGAAAAACTTGATATGCGTATAATGAAAATCATTGAAGGATTTAATTGTTCTGAAGCATATTAAGGTTTCCAAGAAATTTATTAAATAAAGCTTCAATAATCCTTATATGGATTGAAACAATTAGGGCGCAAGTGGTATAATCGCCCGAAAGAGTACTTGTTGAAAAAAGGGTACAAGATAATTCAATTTGTCTTTGTGTCTTTATAAAAAGATATGGATTTGAATTTGTTATAATCGCCGTGTATATTGATGATTCAAATATCATTAGAACTCCCGGGCAGCTTCCTAAAGCAGTAGACTGTTTAAAGAAAGAATTTGAAATGAAAGATCTTGAAAAGATAAAATTTGTCTTGGTCTACAAATTGAGTATATGAAAGATGAAATTTTTGTCCATCAGTCAACATACACTGAAAAGATTTTAAAGCGATTCTATATGGATAAAGCACATCCATTGAGTACCCCGATGGTTGTGAGATCACTCGATATAAATAAAGATCCATTTCGAACTCATGGAAATAATGAACTTCTTGGTCATAAAGTACCATATCTTAGTGCAATTGATGCACTAATGTATCTTGCTAACACTACAAGGCGTGACATAACTTTTTCAATTAATATCTTTGCAAGATATAGCTCTGCTCCTACAAGGAGACATTGGAATGAAATCAAATACATATTGCGTTATGTAAAAGGGACTACCAATGTGGGCTTATTTTATGGCAATGATTGCAATCCCGATCTTGTTGGTTATGCCGATGCGGGGTATTTATCTGACACACACAAGGCTTGATCTCAAACATACTATGTGTTTACATGTTGAGGCACTGCCATATCTTGACAATCGACTAAGCTATCAATCGTGGCTACTTCATCTAATCATGCTGAGATAATTGCTATTCATGAAGAAAGTCGAGAATGTGTATGGTTGAGGTCTATAATACATCTTATTAGAGACAAATGTGGTTTGAAGTGTTACAAACTACCCACAATTTTGTACGAAGACAATACAACATGCATAGCCCAACTGAAGGGAGGATTCATAAAAGGAGCTAGGACAAAGCACATTTCACCAAAGTTCTTTTTCATACATGATCTTCAAAAGAATAGTGATATCAATGTGCAACAGATTCGTTCAAGTGATAATATGGCTGATTTGTTCACCAAATATCTACCGACGTCCACCTTCAAGAAACTAGTGTACTAAGATTGGGATGTGAATGATCAAGGATGTGACTTGATGCTCTCATCAGGGGGAGTTAATACGTATTGTACTCTTTTTCCCTTATAAGGTTTTGTCCCACTGGATTTTCCTTGCAAGGCAACCAAAAGGCGTATTTCTAAACACGTGTACTCTTTTTCCTCCACTAGGATTTTTTTTCCCATAGGGTTTTTTCCTAGTAAGGTTTTAACGAGGCACATTATCTATGGACATCAAAGGGGGAGTGTTATAAGAAAAATCAAATTATGGTGGATGTCTACTATTCCTCCATGATCTACTCAAATGGTTAATGACATATCGTCTCACATGGTTAATGACATATTTCTATGCTTAATGACATATTCAATGTCATATTTTTCTTCACTTTTCATGCCTATATAAAGGCCTTGTAATAGATAGAAAAATACACACAATTGAAGAAGAAAATCTCATCCTTCTCTATCTCCATTTCTTGTTTATATTTTACTAAATTACTTGTATTTCCTTGTTCCATATTGTTACTTTGAGTTATATTTCATAAGAGACGATGAGATTAGCAATAAAATTTTATCGGTGTCAAGTTTTTTTTTCCCAAAGCCAATAATGTTTTTCTTGTCATGACTCATGCGGTAGCGATACAAATTTTAGTAACCAACTAGGAATCGTTTTTGTAAAGAGAAAAAAAAGGAAAACAAGAGCAGTTCAAACTCTATCAAGCCACGCAACCCATCATTTAACAACCCTAAATTTATTTCTTACTCGGACATTAACGCCCAAATTTCACAACTGAGAGAGTCTAGGTCTTGCTTTTGAACGCCATGCGTGTGACGATCAGAGACTATGAATTGACCTTCAACAGTCACAAACTTTACGATGTCTATTTGGACGACACCGAAATCAAAACCGTCGTCACTCGTGATCCCGGTATGGTGTGCACATGGATCAACAACACCGAAGCTGCAAACGCATCCCGTCTCCACCGCTTGATTGTCGGGCTTGACATCGAGTGGGAGCCAAACTTCTACTCACAAAACCCTGTCGCCACCCTCCAACTCTGTGTCGGAAGAAGCTGTCTTATTTACCAAATTCTTCACGCCCCCAGTATCCCCCGCCTACTCCGCAACTTCCTCCAGAACGAAGCCTACATATTCGTTGGGGTTGGTATTGATAATGACGCGCAGAAGCTGTGGGACGACTATGGACTTCAAGTGTCGAACAGGGTTGATCTCCGGGGGTGGGCGGCAGAGGAGTTGGAGAATGAGAATCTTCGTAATGTTGGGCTCAAATATTTGGTGAAGGAAATCGTGGGAATAGAGATGGAAAAACCTAAGAGTGTGACTCTGAGTATCTGGAGTGAGCGTTGGCTTAGCTATGACCAGATATGCTATGCCTGCCTTGATGCTTATCTTTCTTTTGAAGTAGGGAGGTTCTTAAGTTCCTGGTATAATTAGGGGACAACAATTCAAAGTATGTCCCTTTTACTAAATTTGACTGCTTATCTTTCCTACTAGTATTTGATTCCAATTTACATTAGCTCTGTCAAAAAGTACAATTCGCTACCCCTTGCTAACTTTACTGTTTAACTGATAAGATTAATGTTGGTTTACTCAACATACATCAGGAGGATTATCAAACTATTGGTTTATGCTTAGCATTAGCATAATGTTGTTGGTATATGCTTAGAAATAGTGAGATGTAGTATTATGTCTCTGCCTCTCTGCTATGAGATTGCGCAACTGGTTTACGACAGTCTGCAGCAACCACAACTCTCACATCAAAATTCCATTCAATCTTGCACTTTCTGAAACAATTGGATCATAGCTACATTGGGTATTATGCAACTTTGAATTGCTTCAATTGAACAGATGATCCAATTTAAGCTTTGGGTTGCTGGCCTTGGCGTTTTAGTGGGTCTTCAATTCTATTCCAACCTTTTCTATTTATGTGGAGTAGTTTGATTCGAACATGAGTTTAAAAACAATTTCTTTTTTAAACTTATGGTCTTAAATATAATATAGTATTTGAATGGCTGTAAAAATATTTCAATTTCATGGGTTGGGGGTTGTCATGACCCATGGTCCCAGTCCTGAGACCAGTGGAATAGAGGAAAGATTGCAATGATACAAGTGGACGGTCAGGATTAGTGTTTCACTAATCTCAGTTAAACGAAATACCATGCTGTAGAGAAGAGAAGGCACTCAGGCAGCATTATGAACTACAATCAATTCTGGTAAAACTCCCAGTTGTCTCTGCAGTTTTCTTCCTTTTTCTGCAAATTCTCGTGAACTTCTTCAAACCTTATTCATCTTCACCTTTCTTCTTGACTCTAATCTTCTTCTCCATCTCTGATTAAGTCATCCCTTGCGCCAGTTAGCTGAATCCGTGCGTGCCAGCTGAAGTAGTAATAGTTAGTGCGTCTATTTGAAAGTTACTATTATGTTCCATTCATTCTAGTTGAAAGAGTTATGGGATTCTAGCTGAATTCTTCTAATCTGATATCATTGGTTGCATTGCTTGATCGAAATAATGTCTATATAGAGAATTGATTTGTTGGTCGCTGTTAGTTCACTCATGGAGTGTCAAGGACAAGTTTTACTTTATCCCTCAAGTTTTCAAGAAAAGTATGACTTCAATTGCGACCTCCCAATGGGTTGAATATGCAATGTGGCGTTCTGTTGGGATGCCAGGCTTTTAAATCGTTGTCTTAGTATATCACAACAGTGTTATAGGGTCCATCAAGATAGCAACACATTAAGTCTAAAAGGAAGATGTAGATCAGTTAGCTTTGACACTATCATCAAACTTGAAAACCCATGCAAGTAGAAGAATTGCCATGATTTCGACAATATTAGGCGAGCTCAGCAATTCCGAATTCCTAGTTTTTAGCGAATAAAATCTGCTAAATTCCATACAAGAGATTAAATTTTTTTCATAGCTAAAAACTAATTCCATAAACCCAGTGTAATTCTCCCGCATCAGAGATCCAGCACTACACAACCGACAAGATGCCATAAAAATAATACTGATCTGCTTATAACAGTCATGCCTTGCTATCTATGCTCATCGGCTGTGGTTCCTTGGAAGCAGAATTCTGCAAAAAGACAAGTGCTTCATGAACTGGTCACCAAACATGATGGAGCTCCATAGACTCTAAAGATCACAAAGCTTGAAACTTACATTTGAGTTGACATCCAACTTATTTAACTTGGAAAACATGTTCCCATAGAATTTCGCATCCTTCTTATTGTATTCCTTAACTTTCTCCTTCAGAGCTTTGTATTCAAGTTTCACGTCCCTTGTCATCATAAAAAAGGTACAACCTTCAACACCATGAAAGAAATGCAATAGATTTGGACACCAAGTACAGCAGAAACAATACTATACCTGTTTGCAGGATCAATCTCAAGAGCTTTTTTAATGTCAAATTCAGCCAGATCAAAATCCACCATGTTAATATATGCTTGAGCTCTCCGGTAAAGAGCTTTAACATTTGTACTCTCGGTCTCCAACACCTAAAGACACAGAATCATTAAAATGGTAAAGCGGGGTCAACGAAAATGAAAAAGCCAGAAGGGGTATTCTGAATCTATTGGAACCTTGGTACACAGCTTCTCCGCCTGCTTGTAATCTTTCAGTTTCAACTTGCAAGCTGCATTATTTAAGTTACAAGTGATCTTCAAAGCTTTTGACTGTTTCTTTTCCTCCTCGCTAAAGTTAGTATCATATTCAATAAATTTAGCAGCCTGCACATTTTATTTAAAATTTTGCTGTTAGGCAAAACTGGATCAGAACCCAGCAATTAATTAGTACTTACTAAGTAGGAGCACCGTATGACTTACATACCTTTTCGTATCTCTTTGATGCTCTTGCATATTTACCAGCCTTAAACAGCGCATTTCCTTCCTCTTTCTTTTTGCCAGCAGCCTCAATTTTCTCCGGGGTATTCATATCCCATGATTCCTTTTCCTACAGGCCACATTAAAGATATGAAAATACAATCGGTGGCTGGCAGAAAAGAGTTAGAATTATATGAAAAATTATGTCATATAACATACCTTCACAAACGAAATAAGCTCAACCTCATAATACACAGTTGAATTGGGAGGAACAACACCCAATTCTTGCTTTGATTCAGATGAACCGAAGGCATACTCGGGCGCAATTATGAGAAGTGCCACTTCACCCTTCTTCATTGACATGACAGCTCTATCTAGCCCATCAATAACTTGTTCTGTTCATGGCAGATCAGCAGTGAGTGCAATCAAATAAGGAATAACAGACAACCAAGAAAAACACCAAATTATAATGACAATGAAGTAGTCAGAATGCATACCTTCATCTGTCTTAAACTCGAAAAGGTCATCTTCATTTTCTCCATCGTGGCCCTTCTTTAAAAAGACTGTGCCATCTTGCAGCTTGCCGATCAATTTCACTACAGGATGCCAATTCAAAGGAATAGTCACATTATTGTGTATTTAAATTAAAAATTCAGATGTCTGAAACACAATAGTTAGTTCTGAGTAACGAACATTTAACCACAGCTCCTTCATTGGGTTTTTCATATCCTTCCCCTTCTTTCAAGATCTTCTTTATAACTTTCTTATCATCAGTGACACTTGAGACAGTCTTCCATGAGACTAACTCCAAGTTAATTTGCAGAGTAGCATTAGGTGGGACAGCTCCTCCATCAGTAGAGGCAGTTTTACCTTTCTCCCCAAAGCCATCTGCAGAAAACAAATTAGACATGTTATTGACATAGCTTTAACTACATACAAGAATGTTTCTTAGAACCACTTACATTGTGGCTTCACAGTTAACTGGACTTTTTCTCCTTTCTTCATAGTTTTCACAGCCTTTGCAATAGCCGGGCAGAAGTGTCCTGTCCCAATAAGAGTGTTAGTGCACGATAGTGCATCTATAAACCTAGCAAACAAGGTGCTACTATGAAATCAAGGGGTTACCTTCCTGAACAGCAAACTCCACTCCATCTGATTTTCCAATCAATGAGCCATCTTCAAGCCGAGCTTCATACTTGACTGAATAAAAAGATCAAAGGAAATGCTCACTCAATGCTCCAGTACATAAATACACTCAGACCTCTGATGAAACTAAAAAACAATAGATACCTAGAACTTCGTCAAGATCCTTGGGGTTTTCCCATTTCTCTCCCTCGGTAAGGATCTTCTTGAAGATACCACCATCCTTGCAGATGTCCTTTACACTCACCCATGATAGCAGTTCAACATCAAATTGGAGAGTGGCATTTGGAGGGATAGTCGGAGGAGAACCAGACTCTCCATAAGCCAGCTCTGGAGGAATGGTGAAAATGGCATTTTCACCCTTTTTCATTGTCTTAATACCTTGATCCCATCCCTTAATTACTTGTCCTATGAGGAAAGGATAGCAGCATCAGCAAAACATGCAACAATATATCACTTATCTTAATTTACAAGACAGAGATATGTCCTTACATGACAGTTCCTCATAAAGAAAAAGTCTTCACTTCTTGGTTTTAGTAAGGCTTTTATTAATCGATAATCTCCAATAACTAGTAAACTTATGAAGGAAACTAGATTCAACATCACGAATAGCTTACTCACAAATCCAACTGCACATATTCTTTTCCGAATACACACATGCATGGAAACACATATACATGCATGCACATGTGAGTGTGTATCAGCTCTCAATCTCTCACAGATATATTGTATATGCGTGAACATCAAAATACATGCTGCTGTATAACTATTTCAGATTCTCATTAACAACTTCCGAATCATAAAGTTTAAACCTTCTCATAAGACTCCGCAATTATACACGTCTCAGTGCAAGCTCCTTGCACATCAATGAGAAAGAAAAAAAAAAACTGACAGTATTCAGTATTTTTAAAAGTGAAAAGCACAAAAAGGTCACAAGGTCCATTGGTCGCAAATCAAAGAACAATTCTTTGAAGTGAAGCGCACAATCACAACATTAGGAAAAATACTAAACATATGTGAACTTGGTACTATAATGATTAACTTGCAATTAAGATAATTAATTTGTATATCCAATATGCAATAATGATATTAGTCCACATACTCAAAGTTATAGTGATAGCATTCGCATCATTGTTTGAAGCAAACATTTAGACCAAGCGCATGGGATATCCCCTCACATTGAGGGGACAACAGGATGGCTTTTAATAACACTGGACGGAATATAAAGAACATTTAGTCAGACTAGACAAATCAGGCCCTCTTGATGGCTTGACACAAGGTTACCTCGCATGAAAGTCCAGCACTAACACGAAGTCATATTTCTTAATACTGGAGGACTTTTATTTAATATTCAATACAATAAATGCTTTAACTCATTGATTTTCATTCAAGCAGAAGCAAACATAATAACACGGCAAATAAATTTCACTAACAATGTCGATTTACTACAAATATTCTATCAAAGACCTTCGTCTACGAGAAAGAAAGCAATGAATGTTAAAAAGGTAGAGGAAGTTTTTCTAACCTTGTCCGAGAGTAAACTTGAAAGGAGTCCCCCTATCGCGACTGGAATCGAACTTGGTCCCATCAAGCAGAGTCCCAGTATAATGAACTGAGAATTAATTGAAATCACAGATATGAGCACAAATGAGATTATTCAGCATCGAAAACAATTTGTTTTTGTTAAGACTAAGATCAATTCACCTTCGACTTCATCTCCAGGTTCAGGAGTGTCCCATTTTTCACCTTCCTTAACAAGCTTCTTCTTCAAACCTTCTTTACCGATCTCCTTCTCTTCGCCGACTTTCATTATCGGACTTTCATCCGGCAGATCCATGTCCTCATCCATCGCCGGAATATCAAAATCCTCATCCATTCGAAACAAATGCTTCAGTCACACAGAAAGAGAAGTTATGGAACTCAATAAAGCAGTGAATCTCGAATGATTGACGTTGCTCAGTGAAGGCGTGGAGGAATGGGTCTTAAATTAATGGTGTAATGGAGAGAGTGTGCAATAGGCTTTAGGTTCTAGAGACTTCCAATAAGGTTTTTTAGTAGATTGAGTTTGAGTCACCAATCGTAAATGACGCTTCTAGAGAATCTCGAATTTTGACGAAAAATAAGGGGTTAGCTTTGATCTAAATCTAACGGCAGTTCTTTGAAGTAGGGCCCACAGTGTTGACTACTACCATAAATGGAGTTGATTTGTGAAATAGGACATGTCAGTGAACTAGTTACTGGGTTAACCGAAAGATGAAAATTTTAGGTTACTGACCACAATGTAAGTTTCATTTCGAGTCCGAAACCAAAAGTGTGGCTTTTTTGGATTTATAGTATAAAAATAGGTGAAAAAAATAACCTGCGAATCATTTTATGTATTGTGCATGAATGGCATGGGCTATGCCTTAACGGAAACGGAAGTCCGTTAAGGCATAACCCATGCCATTCATGCAGTACTTCTTAATTGGCTGACCCACTATAATTGGTGGGTATAGTGCATAACTTGACTACTCTATATATATATATATATATATATATATATATATATATATATATATAGCGTTTAATTAATGCGTTATACCCTCCAATTATTGTACTCCCGCACAACTTTTTTGCTTATTTAAGGAGTTTCATTCTTTTTTTAAAAATTCAGTCTTCTGCATTCTTTTTATTTTCCTTTACTCATTCCGAAATATTTGTTTACTTAACTTTTTCTACATTTTGCCATAATGTCTGAAGAGCGAAAAATAAGGTTGCATAATATTGGGAGGGGGAGGTGGGGAGGTTGTCGTGGAGAATAACTCAGTACAATATAGTTGTTCTCCACAGTATATTGTTAAGTTACCACTTACATTGGAATACGATAGATTGGTATCGTTGTTATGTAAAAATATGAGTGTGAGGAAACATTCGGTTAATATTAAAGTAACCGGAAGATACATATATTCTCTTACTCCAAAAGGAGTTGTTTGCTATGCTGAGTTTAACATCGAAGACGATGAAACTCTGAAAGAATTTTTGAGGACTCTGGATGAACACCGGGAACTTCTTGTGATAAAAACGATAAAAATGTACGTCAAGTCTGAAGACGTTTGCAATATTAAGGTTCCGCAAAATAGGGATAATCCTCAATCATCGGGTGGTATTTTTGGAGCAGTTTTATCCGAACAAATTCCGTTTGAAAGGCTTTGGCCAGATCTAAACTTATCTCCACGGGCGAATGAGGAGCGAGGACATAATTTCTCTTAAGTTTACATAATTCACACGCCGAGTGGTAAATTTCGATTTTCCTTTATCTTATTATGTTTTTTTAATGTATCATATTCGTAGTAATACTCATATATTCCAAAAGGGTTACCGGTTAGATATGAATTTTACAAGTTATGAACCAACAAACAGTTGGAATATGCCCATATTTGTTGTTTTGGATCATAGTGGTCCATCGGGGAGTCATCAGCAACTCGATAATGTGCATCACGGGATATCAACAGATTATGAATTGTAAGTTAAGAGATAAAGTTAATATATAATGTTTGTTGAATTTGAGAAACTCATTATTTCATTGGTTGTGTAGTGAAAACGAGCAACTTGAAGGTCCTGTCCTTACTCAATTGCCCGAAGACGATATATTTAATCGGGATCTGGCATATTCACAGAGTTAGGAAGATGATAGTGATTATGACAACAATACTGATGAGTCTGGAGATGATACACCCTTCCTTGATGAGGGCGACGATGATGAGGAAACACGCTTTGCTGATGAGAATGAGAATGAGCAACCTGATTTTGCCGAGGGAGCATGATGCCACCAATGAGCATGCTCCATATATGCAGACTCCACCTCCTGTTAGACATAGAGTCTACGAGTCCCATGTGCCCTTTCATTTAAGTGTGATTCCCTACCTTGATGAGTTGCCCAGTATGCCAAATGTGGATGCCCTCATAAAGGATCTTGATGACATTCGAACAGCAATGTGGGATGAATCTAGACCAATGGTGTTGTCAAAGAATATGCTTTTTGCTGATAAAGCGCGCCTTAGCAGGGTCGTGTGAATATACAGCATAAAAGAGTGTCGTGAGATCGAGGTTCATAAGTCATCTCCGGAAGTATATAAGGTTATTTATCGTAGATGGTTTCAACGTTGTGGATGGATACTGCGTGCGAGAAAGTTGAAAATAATTATGTGGATTGTGGGGAAATACATTGGCACCCACACTTGTGATATGGATACATTCAGTGGAAATCCTTTTAACTTGATTTCTATTGTCTTGATTCCACACATTGAATCGTCCATAAGGTACAAGATTAAAGAGTGTATAACATCTGTACACTAGGTATATGGCTGTACCATTACTAAAAGAAAGGCATTTCTCGGGTGTAAACGTGCGTTTGAGATTGTTTATGGTAACTGGGATAAGTCATTTGCCGTTATACCCAGGTACATGGCTGCTTTGCAACACTTTAACCCCGGGACTGTTGTTGAATTGAAGCTTAAGCGGAGTTCGGGAATACCAGAATTCATATTCGGATATGTGTTCTGGTCATTTAAACCAGCCATTGATGGTTTTGTGCATTGTCGGCCGGTAATATCCATAGACATGAGTGTCGTCTATGAAAAGTATGATGTTAAGTTGTTAATCACCATTGCAGTAGATGCTAATGGAAGCATATTTCCCCTCGCATTTGCTATTTGTGCCATGAAAGTCAAGAAACTTGGACATTATTTTTGAACCACTTGAAGAAGCACGTTGTCAGACAACATTCAGGTATTTGTCTAGTTGATATCCTCTCAAGAAGAAAATATGTGCCCCAAATTCGAATTGGGATGACCTTATATTCATGGTTGGTCATTTTGAGGGTGTTGCCGCGTGGGATTGGAAATGTGGTGAAGGCAGTACTACACATAGGAAGTCATTGACATGCTCGTGGAATTTGACAAGAATTTTAGGACGCGTTTGGCCATAGATTTTGTCAAAATATATTTGGGATTTTTTTGTCAAATACATATTTGGTCATAAATTTTATCTACATTTTGGCAAATTCCCAAAACCCGAAACTCAACCAAAACCAACTCAAGAGCTGATTTTGGCCCAAAATATCACTATTACTTTTATTCTTAAATTGCCCCAAACTTTGTATTTTATAAAAGAGACCACCATTTATTATTTTATAACAATGCTGTTTCGTCTTCTCGGTAATCTGATTGTGTATTATGTAGTTCATTATAAAAATGATAATTTTGTACCAAATTTATTTATGTTCAGGACTATGGTTTGCGATAATATTATGAATGTTATTGATAAAGGTTCTGTTGGATATTTGTGATAGTTTTTAGAACTTGTGGGCATAAGTCATGTTTCATGTTTTTTCAAAAAAAAAAGTAAAATATGTTTTGAAAACTTATGTCCAAACACATTTTCATCATCAAACCAAACTTCAACCAAATCAGTTCTTTCAAAAGAAATTTGAAAATCTATGCCCAACCGCTAGCTTAGTTAAATACTTTAAAGCTCCGCGACTGTTCTTGGTATCCACTATCATATACTTTTGAGGTAGAAAAGTAAAAGAAAAAAACTATCAATGGTACCAGAATTTAAAAGTAATGATGATGGCAAAACCATCTTGGGAGTTCATCGTCCATCCACTTAACTTTAACAGAGGAAAAAACTAGTGACAAAAGGAAACACACTTGAGGTGTCATTTTGCCAGCAGCCAATACTTTAGTATCTAAATTATCAAAAAGAAGCAAATATAACTATTAGATAACCTAAAAATAAATTCTTAGAAGTCGCCTCCAAACTTAAGCTAATGGAGAATGTGTAGAGACATCGTGAAATCACAGTTCACTATCAGCTGCTGATTTCTTTCCATTTACAGCAACCAGCTCAGTGTCGAAGACAAGTGTAGCACCACCTATAAGTTTGAACAGATAAGAAAATATTGAGATACGACTCTAGCCTAACTAAAGGAAAAATATACATAAAAAGGGAGAAAGTAAAATAAAGCTATATTCTCGATAAAGGATAGATGTTGCGTCATATGAACTTAAGCAGCATTAAACCCGCATGACGAATACAGCCTACTGCCCCTCCCCCAACCCCCACTGTCTCTCTATATATAGAGGGATCATGGAGATGGATTCAGTTATTAATCCAGACAGCGGACCCAAAATTACTTTGAAGAAAAACCTTTACGATGTTTGCTACTGTGGCGAATCACATATAAATCAAAAGCAACGCCGGCAAAGACCGTTCATTCTGGGCAAAGAAAGACCTTTACAATATTTGGCAAAACTCTAGAACACTTTTTCGAATTTTTGTTTATTTCCAAGTTTTTGAAGTAGAAAAAAAGAGATCTCCAAGCTGGAAAATTGCCCATTTCTCCAGAATTTGCAAATTCCGAGAAGAAAATGTCACCAAACAAACACTTTTTGAAAACCTAAAAACAATTGCAAGAAATGTTTGCAAAATCCTATTGCAAGTTCTCCAAAAACTCAAAAACAAATGCAACCTTATTAGATGGAACAAATGCCACTTAGGACAGTACATTTACGGCTACTGAACCGCAGTCTATTAAAACCATTTGTTCAGAATTAGAAATAAACACCGGAAAATAGTTGACCAGTGTACCAAAGGATAATGCTTAAAGCTTGTGGTCTGTAGGTTTAGCTAATGCATTAAGCAAAATTTAAGTTACTAAAGAAGAACTGAAGTTACCTGGGATCTTTGGTGGAGATCCACTCTCACCATAACCAAGTTTAGCGGGGATCTTCAACTTTCGCTTCTCTCCCACACACATTCCAAGAAGTCCTTGATCCCAACCTGCATGGCGACATTCATTATCAAATGGCTTGTTCTGTTCTTTTGTTAACTAACCCTTTGAGGACAGCTTACCGTCATTCACATAATGTGATTTTCATAAAAAGTAGTAATATTCTATATACCTACAGTACAAATCTATATTTGTCTATGTCCTTAAAAGGGACACTGTGGACATCATATTTAATGATTACATAGAAGGAAATTCAGAATAGGGAAACATAATTCTAGCTTATAGGAATTCGTACTATAGACTGCTTTACTTCATGAGGATTAGATGTGTTACCATGAAGAAAAGGACATAAAAAAAGGTTCTCATACTCCATGTGGAGTCAAAGGCCTAAAAGGGCTCATATCTTTGAAGAGACGCACAACAACAACCCAGTAAAATCCCATAAGTAGGTCTGGGGAGGGGAGTGTATACGCAGACCTTACCCCTACCCGGGGGGTAGAGAGGCTGTTTCCGATAGACATTTGAAGAGACGCACACTTTTTACAATTTTATGATTTCAGTTTGTCAGATTTTATTTACATCTCAAGCTGTTTTTTCTTTTTCTTTTCTCTAGCTAAATAACAACCAGGCTATTCTTTTTTTCAACTTTCACTTTGGTGTAAGAGAGAATTCTTTTGTTAAGACACCCCCCTATATGTCAATATTTGGAACGAGTTTGGTGTATTGTAACTGAAAGATTTTTTGGCATATCAAAGGAAAAAGTTTTACAGTCCAAGGTATATTCATAAGCTCCCACAAAGTAAAAAAGAACTAGATCTTGAAAAGCAAGAGACAAAAACAATAAGCCATCTTTTGTTTTGTCACCACTACACACCCATTTACCGCGTGCGAATATTAGCGCTTATCATTGTCAAGAACTCATTGACTTTTCGCTGAGATTCTAGTCCCTAATATGCCTCTCACAACTGCTGCCAGTTATCATTGAGGGAAACCAACAAAGAAGAAAAATAAAAGCAGAAAATGCACCAATGTAATTATTTCACACGGGCCATAGTTCCAAAGGATTAGAAATGATGTACAGTGGGTATTGATTAGAAGAACGCAACACAAACCTTTAATCACTTGACCACTTCCAAGCTCAAACTCAATGGGGTCATTCCTCTCATAGCTGGAATCAAATACAGTTCCATCTGTAAGTTTTCCCTGCAGGCACATTAAGATATAGGGTAAATCACTTGGACATTACCTCTAGTTCAACAAACCTAAATCAACCCCCCCTCTTACTTAGAAAATACAAGAAACTGCTCTGCAGTTTAAAGTGTTGGCGCATACCCGTTAAATATAAATATGCCCGTTAAATATGGATGAAGTCAGCAAAATATTGTCATTAATAACCTTACTGGATTGCCTAATTTCAACCACTGACCCTCCCTCCCCAATCCTTTCCCGTATGTTTATCACATATGTCAATGCTAATGCTGCCGTCGTTCCTTTGTCACATGACATTTCCTTCATACTTCCTGATTGGCATGTATTCGTTACTCCAAGTTCCTTGTGAGTTTTGTAAGACATGGAATGCCTTTCCCATATGCATACAGTTAATTTGAGATGAACTAAGCTATCAAAGCCATAAGTTGAAACAGAACGAAACAAGCAGGAACAAGATGAAGACAAGTGAGAGAGGATGGTTCAATCAAGAGAAAAGTTTTAACTTTCTTTTGATCATTCAAGTGCCCCTAAGTTGGTTCGCTATTCAAACTAAAAGGAATCTGAAAGAGAAATGCACAGGACCTGGCTTGCCCTTTTCCCCTTCAATCATTATGTTTCTGATCCACGCATTTATAGGCTTTCATTTTTTATAAAAGAAATTGTGTTTTTAATCCAATGCTGAAATGTGCATGTTATCAAATAAATGTATTGTGTAAATGATTGACCTGCCTCCAAAGCTTTCTTTAGAGAAAAAAAAGAAGAAGAAAGCTACTTTAGAAACAAGGAAAGGAAAATGAAGCTTAATAACTGAGGAAAGAGATAGAACTTCTCGTAGAGATTGAGTTTGTCTTAAGGAAAGAAAAGGACTATGTAAAAAAATCTGAATAATCAAATGAAATCTTTCACCTCAAGACCCCATTCCAATTTTCTACCCATACGCATGAATATAATCCAACATAATTGACAAAAACCCAGTAATCAATGTAAGGATTGCCCTTTTTTTGGGATAAAGCTAAGTAAGGATTGCCTTAAAGGAGTAAACACAATAATTTACTATCTACCATTAGGGATTGCAATAAATTAGAAACACTTCATTCTTAGTGGCCAACTTTCCCTTCATCCACAATTAGGAACTTTTAAATAGTTAAGTAGAGCAGCACTTCTACTCACACTGTAGTGTACTGAGACTCTATCACCCTTGTGAGCCTTAAGTTCGCAAGATTTTGGCTTGAACTGCAACATACCAAGAAACAATAGGTTAGAGTTTAGAATATGGAATCACCAAATGAAGGAACTTGTGCACAATTTACAAGCACTACAATCAACATTGAGAAACATAAAAGAGTGATGACTCTACAAATGCAGAGTGAATTTATTAATAACATCATATAGTGAAACAATTGAGAACAAATAGTTAGTGAGATCCTATGAGAGTAACAATAATCAATGTTTTTCTCCAGGTAGCTGTGGCACTGGGTTTGATTAATTTATGCATACTTCATTCAAGGAGAAGTAGGTCACAATTTCATGGACACAGCAACACTGTTACTTAACTGCAAGCTGGATCACTAATACATGCAATGCTCCGCGAGGGACAAAAACATAGATATAAATCCCATAGCATGACAAAATATATTTAAATGACGGATGAGTATGAAATGTAAGAGACGTGTAACAGAACGAAAGAATGCTTATCTATTTTTCTCCTGTTCACCAATTGTTCTCTGCCAAATACACTATTTGTCATAGCTATGAACCACCAAAAGATACTAGCTTTTCATGCTCTCTATCCACTCAGCTGTGTGAGTATACAGTTAATGTATATTCAAACTTGGTGAGGGGATTCAGTCGAAGCAATTAAAGAAACAGACCCCCTCCCCCCCCCCCCTCCCCCTCTCTGTGTGCAGAATCGCTCTATACAATTCCGCTAAAGCTAACAGTATAGATCAAATATGACTCAATTCTCAAATCATTAGTCTAAAGCAGAATGTTGTACGAAATGACATGTGCAACCTAAGACTATGCTCCTTTTAAATTTTTAATTAAATACCTGCAACCTATAACTATGCCTGAAGCAAGAGCTTCTAGTATCCTCCAACGCGAGCTTCTCTCTTCAGAAATTGAAAATATAAGAAACTTGAAATACAATAGTCCAATTATCATCGAGAGTTCTTTAATTGAAGAAGTTCAAACAAACGAAACTTAATACTATATAAACAAAACGCAGTCCATTCTTTAATCAGTTATAAGTAGCACGAATCGAAGAATAGAAATGCCAAAAGTTTTACCTTCACACCGATCTGCAATTCCGTAACATCACCGGACTTCTTAGCCGTAACTGGAAAATACAAATCGGAACTTAGACCGTATTTGACAGTATTCCTATTGACTTAATATTTGATTTTTAGCTCAAAAGAAAAGAAAAGAATTTTAGCACGTTGAATATCGCATTAACAGATCTGATACAAAAATCAATAGCGTGTCGTATCAAAGAGATTACCTATGGTAATAAGAAGAAGAACAAAGAGAACTGAAGCGGCATTGAATGCGGGGCTGAATTTCATTGTCGATTCTGTTTCTTCACACTGCGAATCTCCTCTTGTTCTTTCTTTCCTTCCGCTAAATATAAAGCAGATCCAAAATAGCCACCGCGGATCTCCAACGTAATAAAGGTACCACGGAACCAATCATTATTTTCCACGTCATCAATCGTGAAATCCACGCGGACGAGCTGTACAATGTCGTCCTTGTCATCAATAAAGGGCCCAATTAATTAGGGAAAATGACATCAAATAAACTTCACCCAATGTCCCTTCATGTCCTATATTTAACTTTGATCCCCATTAGAGGAAATGAGCTTTTTCATGGTCATTTATAAAATCTTTAGATTTTTTTATGTGTAAAATTAAATTTTTTATGTGTAGTAAAATAGATAAAATCGAAAAATTAAAAATAAGTTTACAAAACCCCACAAAACTGGGATCACATGATACTCCATCAATTTCATCTTGTAAAATTTAATTAAATAGAACAAAAGTTAAATAAAGGCGAGAAAATCCCAAAAAGATCGAATAAGGGATATTCAAAAATATTTATTTGGCCTTCCTTTTACCAAAAGCAATTATGGAAGTTTTGGAGACTTGCCATAAACGAGGTCTCTCGCCATGCCATACGTTCTCTGCTTTCCTTCCTTAATTCAAGCATTCAACACAAAGCCAAACCCTTCTCTCCTCTTTCTCCTCCTCTCTCACAAACCCTAATCATCGGAACAATGAGGTGACAGAGAAAGGTAGCCACCATGGGCAAAAAAAAGTACAAATTTTTCGAACTAATCCTCCTCTGCTACCTCCTCTTCTTCCTCCTCATAGCCACCACTGCCTCCGCCGATGATGGCTCCGCCGGTGATTCTGCCGTCATGGCTAAATTGGCTAAATCTCTTACGCCAACTCCCGCCGGCTGGTCAGGTCCCAACGTATGTAAATGGCCTGGCGTTTCATGTGACTCTTCAGGCAGAGTTTCTTCAATTAGCCTCATATCAAAATCTGTTGCCGGTGAATTACCACCAGATCTTAACCAACTTTCTAATCTTCAATCCCTTAATCTCCAAAGGAATCGTCTTTATGGTTCGTTGCCTCCTTTATCAGACCTTTCTTCTCTTCAAGAAGTTCATCTTGATAACAATAATTTTACGTCCGTTCCTTCTAATTTCCTTAAAGGGTTAACGAGTTTAGAACATTTTAGCATTGATGAAAATCCCAGTCTTCCTCCGTGGACGATACCTAATAGTTTAACAGACTCATCATCGTTGGCTGATTTTTCAGCGTCTAATGCTAATATCATGGGTCAAATTCCAGATATTTTTGGGTCGTTCCCTAGTTTGGAGAATGTGAGGCTTTCGTATAATAACATAACAGGGTTTTTGCCGGCGTCTTTTGCTAAATCTGGGATTAAAAACTTGGTGCTTAATAATCAAAAGAATGGGCTTTCAGGTAGGATTGATGTTCTTGGTTCAATGGAACAGTTGACTCAGGTTTGGATCCATGTTAATAAGTTTTCGGGCCCAATTCCTGATCTTTCTCTTTGTACTAATTTGGTCGATCTTCAACTACGCGATAATACCTTGACCGGGGTGATTCCTGCTTCTTTAACTTCCCTTCCTAAGTTGGCTAATGTGTCTTTGCAAAATAACATATTTATGGGCCCAATGCCGTTGTTTAAAACAGGTGTTCAGGTGAGTCTTGGGAATATGAACCATTTTTGTAATCCTAGTCCAGGACCATGTGATCCACAGGTAACTGTGTTGCTTGAGGTTGCTGGAGCTGTGGGTTATCCAATGAGAGTGGCTGAGTCTTGGGCAGGTAATAATCCTTGTAAAGGTTGGGACTTTGTTACATGTGATCCTAAGGGTAGTGTGATTGTAATCAATTTTGCTAAACAGAATTGGGTTGGTACAATATCTCCTGCTGCTGCTAATCTCACTGCTTTGAAACAATTGGTCATGAGTGATAATAACCTCACTGGTCCTATTCCAGCTAGCCTCACCAGTTTACCAGAGCTGCAGCTTGTGGATGTTTCCAACAACAATATTTCTGGGAAGATACCAAAATTTCGTCCCGATGTCATAGTGAAAACATCTGGTAATCCATTTACGGGGAAAGATTTGCCACCATTTTCTCCACCCGGAAGTCCTAGTTCGTCTGGTCGGACAGATAATCCGTCTTCTCCAACAATAGGTGCACATAAAGCTTCTGTCCCTACGTGGGTGATTGTTGCTATTGTTATTGCTGCTATCATCTTAATCCTAGTTTTGTGCTTGGTGATATATAAATACAAGCGGAATGGGAAATCAAAATTGAGTAAAGTTAAGACAGGCAAGGAGCAAAAACTGAAGAACAATTCCCCTAAAAATGTGAATGGGTATGGTGCTATTCCAAGCACGGCCAGTCAAAGTAGTGCTGCAAATAGTGAAATCTATATATATGATGGTGGGAATGTAACCATCCCAGTGGAACTTCTGCGAGAGGCAACAGACAATTTCAACGAAGAAAATATATTGGGACGTGGCGGTTTTGGGATTGTTTACAAAGGTAAACTCCATGATGGGACAGAGATTGCTGTGAAGAGGATGGAAGCATCTATAGCTAGTAACAAGGGGCTGAACGAATTCAAAGCTGAAATTGAAGTACTCACAAAGGTTAGGCACAGACACTTAGTTGCACTTCATGGGTTCTGCGTCAATGGATATGAGAGGCTTTTAGTTTATGAGTACATGCCACAAGGGACATTAGGCCAGCACTTGTTTGATCACGAACATTTGAGATTTCCACCTCTCACTTGGAAGCAAAGATTAATAATAGCACTAGATGTGGCCAGAGGGGTCGAGTATCTGCATGGTTTGGCACAACAGAGTTTCATACATAGAGATCTAAAGCCTTCTAACGTACTTCTTGGGGATGACATGAGGGCTAAGGTTGCCGATTTTGGATTGGTTAAAAATGCACCTGATGGGAAGTACTCCGTTGAGACGAAGCTAGCAGGAACTTTTGGGTACCTTGCACCAGAGTATGCTTGTATGTACAACACTCCTTTACTATTGCATGAACTAGTTCAATTTAAACCACTAACACACACAGAACAAACAAAGGAACTAAGCAACGACTAGCTTAACTATCCCTAATAAAACAAGCTAAGTATTTTGGATATTCATGTTTGATTAGGAATATGATTATTTATGTTCTTGATACATGTTGAGTTTACACGTGCTAAGTATCCACAATTAATTTCTGATATTATCTTTTTCTGTTGAAACTAGCCACTGGAAGAGTGACTACAAAAATTGATGTCTTTGCATTTGGAGTGATGTTGATGGAGATGGTCACTGGCAGAAAAGCACTAGATGAGAACCTGCCCGAAGACAGAAGTCATTTAGTCCCTTGGTTTAGAAGGATGGTAATGAACAAAGAGAACATTCGATACATTCTAGACCCATCCGTGGATCCAGACGAGGAAACTTACCAAAGCATCTGCAAAGTAGTAGAGCTAGCAGGACATTGTGCTGCTAGGGAACCATCTCAGAGACCAGATATGGGCCATGCAGTAAACGTCTTAGCTCCTCTGGTAGAGCAATGGACTCCAACTGCATCTAATGGAGATGATAGTTTCAATATTGACTTCAATATGAGCCTTCCTCAAGCCCTGCAAAGATGGAGAGCTAATGAAGATTCAATGCTCTCTGAAGACACGTATGGTGACTATACCACATCCTCAAGGACTTCAAAGTCCATTACAGCACTTACGAAGGTGTAGGAGTGAGAACAGCACGTTTAGTTATACGAAGGAACACCAGTGGATTAAAGCGAGCAATGTAAAGATACTTAAATGTGAGGAAGGGACATGTATATTAATGCCAAGGAACCCAATGACATAGAGAGACACACTTTTCTGTCTCAGGTTTTCATTTTTTCTCTATCTGATTATTCTTACTGTTCATAACATCTAGTTTCTGCTTTTGTAACATAAAATCTCGGATCAGGTAGACATTTGGGTTTATAGATTTTGATTTTCTGACAAGAATTAACAATGATGCTGGAGAGGAGGAAGTTCCATTTTATCATTGACTGACTCTGAATATCATTACACATACTCCATTCACGAGCGGTCTAAATGAAATACAGATTGTCCACATATATCATTTGGGCTTCTTCTAAGTGAAACAAGGTTACCACTAGGCAACTAATATTCCTTAAAATCTCCTTCACAGCAGCTGTATAAGTGTTCAAAGGTGATGTTTTTTTACAAGAGAAAAATAAAAGAATCTGTACTACATCCTTTATACTATGTTTATCCAACAAAACTATATTTGCTTCCACAAAATCTAGATGTAAGTGCCCGTGCGCAACCTTAGATAAGTGCATTTACTAGAAAGATTAGTACTGGGAGTTACTCCTATCAAGCACTGCAGGTTTCTCTTTTGCATTCCATAAACGTGAGACAGCGCCAAATTGTTTGACCAAAAAGCATAAACTTCCGTTAAACTATTAGATCTTCTGTAATAAAGGGTTAAACCTAGTTAATAATAATATCTCTAGATTTAGAACTAGCTAATATGAAAAACGTGGGATAATGCTGGTGGAGAATTAATTACAATGCGCATTTAATATTCCGAAGGATTTGAGCAATAATAGAGGAACATCAAGCAATAAATAACAATAAATGGCATTTATCTAAATAAGGAGAATATTTCACCCAATATTGAATGAGGTGGATGATTTTTCTTTCTGACAGTGATGAGTGATAGACAAATCCTAGAATATTGGAACTATTCTTTGATCTGACGGAAAAAATGATGTTCTAAACGTCAATACCACACGGGGGGGGGGGGGGGTGGTGATTTGTGTGGTACCTAATTTTCGCACTAGAAGAACCTGGTTCTTCCAGATGTGCTTACTAAGACTGTTTGCGGAATTAAGAGTGCATAAAATAAAGAACACAAAGATTTTTACGTGGAAAACACCTGGCTCAAAAGGTGAAAAAACCACGACCTACTACTCAGTAGGATTTTCCCAAACTTTCACTAAAATCACTGAGCCAAAACAGCATTTACAAAACTCTTTGTAAACCTAAGGATTAACCTCTAATCCCAGTGTGGCACACAGCCTCAACTGCTGCGACACTTTCAAGTTAACTCTAACTTGAATACTCAAAGTACCTAATACAATTGCTTCTATGAAAGCTGAAATGTACAATATTAAAACACCTACTACAATTGAACTAGATTAAAAGAAAGACACAATGGAATTGGTTCTTCTATCTTGTCCAAGTAGCTTTAGGAATGCACACTTGAATCTCACGTAAATTGCTTGCAAAACGCCTTGCTGTTTTGCTCTTCAATTTAGTTTCACTTCTACGCTTGTGCAATACCTATAAAAGAGAACAATCATTATTATTCATAGAGTTAGTAATCAGAGTTTGATTAAAACTCGACTTGCTGATCCTTTATCAAATTCGAGTCCTAGAACAATTCAAACTCCAATCCTTATTCTTGATCCGGATGTAGTTCTCTTCACATAAGGAGACTTCAACTCCTTATCCTGTGCAACCTTTTCGATCAACTCAGAAGATATTATTGCTGACCCTTGAGACTTATCTTCACACGTACGTCACATGTATAAGTATATCAACACTGTGTCTATCTCACATGATAGACCTGGTTCATGACGGAGTTCATTTTGTCAATCTTCAAAACTTCATCTGAACTTGGACCAACAAATTTCCCCTTTTTGATGATGACAAACTCTGTGCTTTTATCGATCAGAGACCTTGTGGAACTCAGCTTAATTATCACACTTTAATTTAACTTATCATTAAGAACCAGGTTTAATCAGGTTATAAATATCACTTTATTTCCAGAATACAAAGTAAAGCACAATATCTCTTTTGTTTCACACTCTAGAACCAATGCCCTAACTTTGCTGTTCACAGGAGTCTTCAAGGATGAACCAGGTTCAACTGGGGCTACACTTAGCAGATAGTCACAAGCCTGCATAGTTTTAATTCCAAAATGGTCTTTGCTGGAGGCCATCTCCCACCTTTTCAATGCCACATCTAACTTGGCCAAGACAGTTGTCAGTATAAACCCATAAGGTGTGGCATGAGCCTTGGAGCCATTGATGACTCTATCCAGTAGCTTGACAATGAAAGCATGCCAGTTAATCTGCTTTTCTCTCACAAGACACTCCAGAAGGACTAGGTCCATATAATTCGCAGTGTGCCTTCTCTCCTGTCTGGGCAGCAAACACTTGTTCACAAACTCAAAGAGCACCTTGTGCTCAGGCTTCATCTCACTCTTTTGCACAAACCTAGCCTCGGCACTTCTTCAGCAGACTTGGTATCACAAAAATTTCTGGTGATTTGGAGAGCAGAAGGGAGAGAATCTAGATAGGGCCACCTTTGCCTAGTATAGTCATCATAGCCCTCACAGGGTATGTCTAGAATTCTGCCCAATTTAGGTGCATCAAACTGCACCTCTACTCCCCTCACCACGCTAGTAACAACCCCATTCACCACAGTAGCATTTACCATAAACTCGATCAGCTTTTTCCTTGCCAGCCTGCCATCCAGTTTAAGAACCATTTCCTTCCACCCCTGTGCATCCAGGGCATCAACCAATCTTTTCATGCCTGGCTCCTCCAGATCTTTCAGAATTCTTCCTTTCAGTATCTTTCTCCTGCCAAAAAGGACAAATCTGTCCTGTTCTTTTTCAGATTCCTCTTCTTCTTCCTCTCCACTCCATGCTTCTTCTTCTTCAGGAACTTTCACTTGTTTTCCTTTGACTGCAGACCTGGTTCTTTTAGCCGGGGAGGGTTCAGCAGATACAGGTTCTGAAGACTTCTTTGTAGAAGTCTTGGATCTTTTTGGTGTAGGAGTGGGAACCTCCTCAGTTGTACCTCTTTCCTGATGGACCAATTCCATCTCCTCCTCCTCTTCTTCTGCAGCCACAGAACTTTCCACAACTTTAGCTTTTCGCTTTTCCTTCTTCTTTTTCTTGCTTGCCTCTAAGGCTTTCTGCAACTCAGCCTCACTTTGCTTTACCCTGCTTCTAGTAGCTTTCATCTTTGGTACTGGAGGGACAATAGACTTAGGAGATGACACCTTGCTCTTCTTTGTTGGCTTAGAGGCAGTTGGAGCCTTTTGAGAAGAAGCTTTGCGCTTCTTGGGATCATAACTTTCCCCTACCTTCTTCAGAATGTCAGCCAAGGTTTCTTCCACAGATGAACCAGGTTCATCTTGTTGTTCACTCAGGTGTACAAGGCCTTCAGCAGCCTCCCCAGTTTCACTTCCCCCTGGCTTGTTGCCACTCTCCTCTGTTCCTCCACAAATAGCAAGAATTTTATCTTTCTTTTTCTTTCCCTTTCTACTCGACTCTCCCTCACTTACATCTCTCACAGAACCCACCAACACAAACCTATTTTCCACCTTCTCAACTACATCAGAAAAAACATAGCATGTATTTACCTCCCTAGGGTTTTCTTGATTCTTGTCTGAGTCAGAAGACCCACGTTCTTCTCCATCGCTTGCAGAAACAAATGCTTCAGACTCAGAACTCGAGTCAGATGATTCCTTTTCAGAGCTCTCCTTTTTCTGGCTGGCTCTCAATTTTTCGTTTAGAGCCGTTCTCAGAGCACCAGTAGCCACAGTCTTTCTTAACAACATTTTCTGCCGGCGAAATCTTGGTTTAGGATTGTCGCTAGGAGGTGCAGATGAGGGTGTGATAGGAGATACTGGTGGGGGAGTTCCTGGATTTTCTTGAGGAGTAGTCATGGTGAAGAATTTCTGGAGAATTTTTGGAGATTTTAGAGAGAAGGATGATAATTTGAGGTTTAAGGCTTAATGACGGTTATGGACTAGAATGGGAGTATGTGGAGTGTATTTAAAGTGGAGTCTGATTAGGTGCAGTAACAGCAGCCTTTTTGCAGTGGTCAATCAAGAGTCTAATCCCTTTAAGACTCCGGTCTTTTAGTGATAAATATGTGACACTTGGTTTTAGAAAATAGTCCCGTTTCCATTAGAATTCTAGGAGAATGAAACTGGTTCAATGCACAACGGTTCTATGTTTAGGAGTTTGGTTAGAATAGGACTTCTGCTCATAATTGAAATATTTATTTTTCTAATTGTGCAAAGTATAGAAACATACCTGACCTTTTCTTATGAGCATATTCTGATGAACCAGGTTCTCCAAGTAGAACTTCTCTTGATTATGCCTCATATATCAGAATAGAAAAAAAACTTTGTAAGAGATCAATGAATTAATATAAACACATGTCACAGGAGTATACTGATTAGAGTATGAGACTGAGTAAGAATTAGTCTAGATATTTACATAAAGTCAGAACTTCTAACCAAAAATGTGATTTTTTTTATTTCATTTTTTTTGCATTCTGAACTGGTTCCTTTTTAGGTGATCTGAATCATCCCTAATTCCAACCTGTTCCTTTCAAAGTTTTCCCTATTCAGTGCTTTGGTGAAGATGTCAGCTATTTGTTTATCAGTAGCACAGAATTCTATTGAGATTAATCCTTTCTCATAATTATCTCTCAAGAAGTGCTGTCTAACATCTATTTGCTTGGTCCTTTTATGATGAACAGGGTTCTTTGTCATACTTATAGCACTAGTGTTATCACAAAATATTGGTATGCATCCTACTTCAATTCCAAAATCTACCAATTGTTGTTTAATCCATAGTAATTGAGCACAACAAGAAGCTGCAGCTACATACTCAGCTTCAGCAGTAGATAGGGCTACTGAATTTTGCTTCTTGGTAGCCCATGATACAAGACATGAACCTAGGAAGTGTGCCATACTTGAGGTGCTTTTTCTATCCACTAGGAAACCTGCATAGTCAGCATCAACATATCCTACTAGATTGAAATTACTACCTTTTGGGTACCAAAGACACAATTCAGTAGTGCCTTTCAGATATCTCAATATCCTCTTGACAGCAGTCAAGTGAGACTCTTCTGGATTTGCCTGAAAACGAGCACATAGCCCTACACTGAA